ATACTCATCAGAGCCGGGTGCCTGCAGGAAAAAGCAGAGAGAGACCAGAGAGGAGCAGAGAGGCTTCAAATAGCTGCAGGACACCAGACCCAGGTGCCCTGAGTTACTGTAATCAATGCAATCACTGGAGCCAATGCAGCACAGACAGAACAGCCACACCCTCTCTACTGATGGACCCACAGGGGCATCACAACATCTGTCTGACATTATTCGTGTGAAACAACTTTTAAATCTGATTCTTACTTTTAGAGATAACATTGTTCAGACCTTGGTAAAGAGGCCTTCTTCAGATTTTAGAGTGCTTGATGTCACAGCTACAGTGGAGGACAGATTTAATTTTGCCTTCATGTTTTCTTTTAAACCTGCCATAATTCCCAAACCCTACATTCCTGAGACATAATTTCTCATGAGAAACGTATGAAAACATCTCGTAGCTTGAAAGAAAGAAAATAATTAAGCAAAAATAATGAAACAAAATGCCTCTAGAGGGCATGAAGTGACAAAAACTTTCAACATGTCTCCATTACACCCCATTGTAAATTCAGCCTCACCTTTCCCCACCACAGCAGCCGCACACCTTTAGTTAAACTTCCCAAAAGGCCACATTATTAACCCGAAAGTACACAAAAAGCACACTTCAGATGCTCAAGTTCCTTGACATGCTTCACGCTTTGAAATTTCACCGATATCTGTTACAGTTCTTCAACAAAACGTTCACATGTAACAGGTTTATCTCTCATTCAGAACAATAAAAAAGCTCTCCTCTCACTGATAACCATGGAAACCTTTGATCTCTGGACACCTCGTTAGCTCAAATATAAACACCTGTGTCATGGAACACGATGATGTCATCACTCCAATTGACATAATTAGAGCAGCAGACTAATGACGTGGTCACTGGAGTTTAACAGACTGTCTCAGCCTATTCTTTTCCGTCTGATGGAGACTTCATACTGACTTCAACATGTTCCACATATTTTAGACATTATTGGTGACGTATGCTTTTAGTTCTAAAGTGTTCAGTTCAAATATTCTGCTGCTTTTTCATGCATTTAGACTTTTATGTTCTTGTTCTCATTTCACATTCAAGTCCCCTCTATTCATGAACCCTTTAAAGTACTCAGCCACACCACTTACGTATATACCAGGTGCGACTGTTGCTATGTCAGTTCATCTTTCAAATACAAGGTTGCTTGTTTGATTCAAGCTCTTGTAGTCAATATGTCAAGGTATTTATCCCTAACATTATATCAGCTAACTAATGACACACACTCAGAGGATCTTTATAAACGTTTTAAGTATTGCACGTCTTTAAACATGACTCTTATAAATCACTTGTAAAACCAGCGATGCACTACAGTGTCAGCTTTTCTAAAATAGAAACTTCAATGTTCACGTCTTTCTAAATGATTCTATTCAATTCAATTCAAAACCTTTATTTATCCAGGTAAAATCCCACTGAGATCAATGATCTCTTTCTCAAGGGAGACCTGCAGCAGTAGGTTCCACAAGAAGACATAACAACATAAACAACAAAAGGACATCATACAGCAAAATGTACAGGGATTACAATTTACATATTTAACCACAAGTACAGGTACCAACAGCATCTGATTTTGTAGCATCCAACCGAGCTTTAAAAACATGTAGTGGTACTAGCTTGGTAATTTTCCATTCTTTTTGCAGACTGTTCCATGTTAGTGGAGCTGCACATCTAAAAGCTTTCTTCCCTAAGACAGTCCTAGCACTTGGCACATTTAATAAAACCACAGCATGCGATCTCAGGCAATAAGTACTTTCAATTCGCAGAGAGATCAGGGAGCAGATATAAGATGGTAGTTTATCCAACATGGCTTTGTAAATGAAAAAGTACCAGTGACTGAGCCTCCGTACAGTAAGTGATGGCATAACCGCCTTGGTATACAGGGTACAGTGATGCGTAAGTGCTTTACAATTTGTCAAAAATCTCAGTGCACTGTGATACGCAGCATCTAACTTGCTCAGGTAATTGGCAGGTGCATTCATATATAACAAATCACCATAATCCAGCACAGGTAAAAAGGTCACAGTGACTAGCCTTTTCCTGGCCTCAAGCGAGAAACAGGACTTATTTCTGTAAAAGAAACCTAGCCTAACCCTCAGCTTTTTAAGCAGGTTATTGACATGAAGTTTAAAAGTGAGACAATCATCAAGCCAGATACCAAGGTATTTGTAACAGGTAACTTCAAGTTGTATTACTTGCGTAGTTACAATATCTAAAACAGGCTCTGGTGTCTTTTTAGCTTTAGCTTTTGAAAAGAGCATTACCTTGGTTTTCTCTACATTTAAAAGAAGCTTTAAGCTCAGAGAGCTGAGCCTGAATAATGTTAAAAACAGCCTGTAATTTAACAACAGCCTCGTTAATCGAGGGACCTGCACAATACATCACGGTATCGTCCGCATAAAAATGTAAGGTTGCTCCTTTGACATTTTCACCTAAACTATTAATATAGATAGAGAATAATAGCGGACCTAAAACTGAACCTTGTGGTACACCATTAGCAATGTTTAACCACTCAGAAGACAGCCCATCAAAGTGAACACATTGGGACCTTTCAGAGGGGTAGTTCACAAACCACCCACTGCATGGCTGGACATGCCTATACTGAGTAGCCTCTGCTTTAAGATGTGATGATCGACGGTGTCAAACGCTTTGGAAAGGTCAATAAATAGAGCTGCACAACTCTGCTTATTATCTAAAATACTCGCCACATCATTCACCACTTTCATTGTGGCAGTGATGGTGCTGTGTAGCTTTCTGAAGCCTGACTGATGTTTAGACATGATGTCATTTGTACATAAAAACTCCTTTACCTGTTCACTCACTAAGCGTTCAAGAACCTTAGCCAGAACTGACAATTTAGAGATTGGCCTATAGTTATTTAATAAGGTGGCCTCCCCTCCTTTTAGCAAAGGCAGGACATACGCTGACTTCCATACTTTTGGAATTGTGTTAGTGCTGAGGGAGAGGTTAAAAAGAGTAGTAAGAGGTGGAGCAATAAAATCTGCAGCTATCTTTAAAAAGAAAGGTTCTACGTTGTCCGGGCCAGCCGGTTTCTTAGGATCTAACTTGGTTAAAGCTTCACGAACAACATCAACAGTAAAAGGAGTAAAACTGAAGGGGTTTTCCAACACACATTTTCTGAGTCACATACTGTAGTGTTCACAGAAGCAGAGTTAGAAACAGAATCAAATAGAGAACCACAGGACACAAAATGCTCATTAAAGCAATTTAGCATAGTAGCGCTGTCCGATATAGAGCCAGATGCTGTAGTAAGGCACGGAGGTAGCTCATTACGGATATCACCGGTGGATATCGATTTTATGGCTTTCCAGAATTTTCTAGGGTTGCTCAGATTCTTTGTGGTTACTGACAGATAATACTTAGATTTAGCACTTTTGACATGTGAAGTGAAGCTATTTCTTATTTGCCTAAAACGCAGCCACTCTACCTCTGAGCCTGATTGCCTAGCCTTTGCCCAGGCCTTGTTTCTCTCATGTAGGAGACTAGACAGCTCAGCAGAAAACCAAGGATTGTCTCGTCCCTTCACTCTAAAAGTACGCAGGGGTGCATGTCTATCAATGATCTCCATAAAACCAAGATAAAAATAAGACCATGCAGTTTCTACATCAGCACACAGATCGATTTTACCCCAATCAAACCCAAACAGATCATGAACAAAACCCTGCTCAACAAAATGTTTTTTGTCTCTCTTGATGATAATACGAGGTTTAACCTTTTGGACCTTAGTGTCCCTAATTGTGGCTACAACACAGTGATCGCTCAGATCATTTGCAAATACTCCCACAGATGAGTATTTATGGGGAACATTAGTTAAAATGAGATCAATTAGGGAGGATTTATTAGGGCACTTAATGTTAGGGCGAGTAGGACTGTTAACAATCTGAGTAACATTCAAAGAGATACAAAGGTATTTAAAATCCTCTGACACTGCAGTTAACCAGTCCCAGTTCAAGTAGCACTATTTCTACTTTTCAATGACCTACAAATAATCCTAATAATAGTCCCATTTTCAATCTTCCAACTGTTCATATTTGTTGGTCAATTAACAAACCTGTTACAAATGTGTTGTTCAACAAATTTGAGCCTTTGCCACATTTATTCGATCACCATGGAAACGTTTGATCTCTAGACACCTCGTTAGCTCAACTATAAACACCTGTGTCATGGAACACGATGATGTCATCGCTCCAACTGACATGCTCAGAGCAGCAGACTTCAGATAATGGTTAACGGTCCAGCCCTCAACAGCTCTACGTCCATTATGGGGTGTCATCATATGCCGTTTCCATGGAAACACATTCCTCGCCATAAAACACAATATTGCTATAACTCCTATGAAAATGTTCAAAAAGTGCTCAAACTTCACATGTGTGCTAACAGTCCAGCCGTGAAGACATCGACGGGACAGTTTTGAGATTTCTTCAAATGTCGTTGCCATGGCAACTCAATGCTCACCATGAAACACGGTTTTCTCATAACTTCAGTGAAAATGCTCCAAACGGCCCAAAACTTCACAGGTTTGGTAACGATGCAGCCATCAACGCATCTAAGCGTATTATGGGGTGTCATCAAATGCTGTTGGCATGACGACAGATCATTCGCCATCAAGTTAGTTCAAAAGTTTGCAGTTCAAATATTCTGCTGCTTTTCCAAGCATTTTTACTTTATTTTCTTCTCTCATCACACATTCAAGCCCCCAGTGTTCATGTATCATTTCAATCTCAATTATCCACTTTCTTCTTACACATTACATTTCAGCATAGCAGTTTAGCGTCAGCTTTCCAGCATAAAGCATTCCCACTAGCAATTTCTTCAGGAATTGCATTCTCTAGTTTTTTTTTAATGAACTGCAGTGTGTTAAATGTGAAAGGGTTTGAAGTGTTGGTAACTCATTTGGGGGTTTACGGAGTGTATTTAAGAAAAGAAGTGTACTCACATGAAGGGAGATTCAACAGTGACCGTAGAGTCTGGATCCAAGAGGAAGTGCTTCTGGGATATGCCCCCAGTCTGGGTATCTATGGTAACCACAGGGAAGCCCATCTGCAGCACCCAGGTGTTCATGATGTTATTGACAGAGTCAGGAAGTTGGGTGCCAGTATTATTATCAACAGCCTTTGGAAGCAGAAAAACAAGAAAACAAATGATGTAACAGCCAGCAGTATGGTATGTACTAGAGATCATGATTAACATTAAACATTAAAATCTTAAGAATCTATATAAAATAACATGCCATCTGCAGATGTTCCCACAGGTCTGTGTAGACTGCATTCCCAAAGGCAAACGTATTCAGGTAGCTCTGCAGGGGTACAGAGAAAACACACACACACTACTTCTTTAGAGGTGAAGGTTTCAGAGTAAAGCAGGGGACCTGTACACAAACAAACACACACACAAACAAACACACACACACACACACACACACACGCCCTGGCAACTGGACATCTTCTTCATAAAACTAATAATATGGCGTAATAATCGGGCAGTTCGATGTGTCTAACCATAAGAAAGTATCTCGTGCAAACGAGAAAGTATATCGTGCGCACAAATTAATAAAGCGTGGCCTCGTTTTATTTATTTTTCTCTCTATGAACCCTACAGGGCTCCTTACATAACTGTATTAAGTTAGGTGAAATCAATGATATTAAGTTTAAATACAAAATATTAGGCTCAGCTTAACATTATTGCTTTCAACTAACCTAATACAGTTATTAGGGCCTGAGCTTGACAGAGTCGGAGCAAAGTCCTATTGAAATCCTTGTGATTATTTTCTTTTTATTATTTTTTTCTACCAAATTAATTGACTTTTTGAGGGCCTTACATGCTCAAAAGACGGAGATTTTTCACACACTTGTAAGGTCTGTTGAAAATGTTGATATTTTGGGGGTTTCATAATTGGTGGACTCAAAATGGCTCTATAGCGCCCCCTAACAAGCAGTGTGTTGTTGTGCTTTCACCGACAAGTCTGAATTTTGGTATGCATATGTAGCATGATGGGACGCAAAAAAAAGTGAATGGGAGGCAGATCGTAAACCCAACAGGAAGTCGACCATCTTTTTTTAATTTTCAACTTTTGCCATTTTTGCCCTTTTCAGGGCCCGTGTCAAAATCTCCTCCTACAGTTTTAATCCGATCGACTCCAAATGTGGCCAGTACCATCAGAAGACTTGGAGAATCACAATTTATCGTTTGTTTTTTGTCGATATCAAACGGTCTTGCCGTGGCGTTGTGGTGGAAAACATCTCGACCATATACTCCTCATGGATGATGAGAGTCCCATCCTGAAGACAGCTGCATGACCAAAGTCACTCATCTACATAGCACCCCCTGCTGGGACCAGGAAGTAACAACTTATGGACCAAAAAGTCCTCCTCCCAGATTCTTCAGATCCCTCTGAAACGTGATCAGATAAGCCTTCAGAGGTGGGGGAAGCTCCAAAGTGAAAGTGGTGTGTCTGGGTGTAACTCGCCTCTATATGGTCAAAACCTTTCAAAACTTCACACGTTTAATAAAAGCCCCGTCCTGAAGACATCTATAGGCCAATTTTCAATCATAGTCATAGCGCCCCCTTGTGACCACAGGAAGTTACTGTTGCTAGACTTTGGCTTACAGCTCTCAGCAGGTTAATCAGATCACCTTCATATTTGGCCAGCTTAATATCAAGACATTCACCTTTCCAGACGCTGAGGCTTGTGCGGTGTCGTAGAACGCCATGGCTACGCATTGTTCCCCATCAACAGTACTTATTTTGGGCTAAGTGATGCATGTACAAGCACGAAACTTGGCAAACACATTAACAGCGATGATCTTAGTTAACTTATATGGTTGTTGTGTTTTGGTGTGGCAAGGTGGCTCTATAGCGCCCCCTAAAATACTTCAACATACTTATTTGGGGTTTAGCGACGCATGTAGGCTACTCCTACAACATTTGGCACACGCGTTAACAGTGATGATCTTAGTTAACCGATAGGGTTGTTGTGTTTTGCCGTGGGAAGGGGGCGAGAGCCCCCTAAAAAACACAGAACTTGGCACACGCGTTAACAGGGAGGATGTTAGTTAACTGCAAAACGAAAGTGGTGGCAGGAAGTAGCTTATTTGGGCACATGCACAGAAAAATGTGGGTTAATGTTAATATGGATTGGTTCGTGACGATGGCGATTCAGTGCTGCACATGCAGCGATCCTCGAAATACCCCAACGTGTGCGTTGACTTGCGAAGGCCTGTTTATCGCTGCTTGCAGCTTTAATGTGTAAGTGTTTTTCATAATGCATTTATTTAAGTCAACGTTTCAGTTTTTCATTGCCACATTCTTAACTTTGCCAAATAAATGGAGACTATAAGATCTTTATAAAGTTCTTACCGTGAGTCCCTGTGTAAAGACTCCTTCAGTTAGGAAATCCGACAACATCCGCAGAACAGATGCTCCCTGGGGATATGAAAACACTTTAAAAACTTTATGAAGACCAGACTTTGAGCGACTTTGTAGCAAATGATATGGCATATTTGTGAGAAAACTGATTATGGGAGAAAAGTAATTGGGAGTATTGATTTTAGGATCAGAGATGGCAAAGTGTCCTGCTTCTCTTAAGGCCTGACAGTGTGAGGTCACCTTGCTGTATGAGATGGCATCAAACAGCTCACTGATCTGGGCTGGTCTCTGAATGTCCTCTTCTTTAGAGGACAGAGGGTGAGAAGAGGCCAGGGCATCAACAGCAAACACCCTGTGGACGTCATTGAGCACGATGAGGTCTTTCTATTATGAGACAAATAAGAAAAAACAGACTCCTTCATCATCCTACACTGCTCTTATTGCTGAGGCCATGAGAGGCAAATCCTTACTATGTTCCAATCGGGTTCAGCGTTGTCAGCTCCCAGGTATTCAACATAGGATGCAAACCCTTCATTCAGCCACAAGTCATTCCACCACCTCAGGGTCACCAGATTACCAAACCACTGAAGGGAGAGCACAGAGCACAGGACCAAACGTGAAATACAACAAATAACCCAGACAGCAGCGCTTCAGCTCTGCAGCCCTGAGAGTACCACTAAGCTTCTCTTTCAAGGTCATGCACAATCTCTCTAAATATATTTGTTATTATTAAATTAGTTCCCAAACTGAAGAAAGCGTCAGTGGTGGAAGAAGTGCTGAGATGTTGGACTTAAATAACAGTAGCAATAATACATTTAAAAGTACTTTGTTACAAGTAAAGGTCATTCATTCAAAATGTTACTTGAGTAAACAAAAGTATTGGCATCAAATTATTATAAAAGTTCCAAATGTATTCAATAATGGTCCATTTCAGATTAATAAAAAATACAATATTGTCTTCTGAAATGTAGTGAAGAAGTATGAAGTCAAATTAAGTGAGAATACTCAGGTATAGTACAAGTACCTCAAAGTTGTACTTAAGTATCGAACTTGAGTAAATGTAACCACTGTAAAGCGATTCACGTGACAAGCAGAAGTACAAAAAGTGATTACTATGATGACTTTGAACATTTAGACAGGCAGGTCTGCATGGTGCACAGAGACCCAGATACATTTGTTATTAACATAAAAAAAGTCAAATTATTTAAATATTTGACAAAAAGTCAATTAGAACTTAGTGAAATGCTACTTGATGCAACAATCTTTTCTAGAAATGTCTCATATATAAATATAATTATATACACACATAAAGGCAATTTTACTTCCAATTATGTATTTGGCCTTTTATACTTATTTAAGTACTTTTGCTTTCGTAAGATTTATAATGCAGGACTTTTATTTGTAATTAAGTATTTTGAAAATAATGTGTTGGTACTTTTACTCAAGGAAAGCATCTGAATACTTCTTTCACCGCCGGTTAAAGCTTTGCTGCTCATACAGCATTTTAAATTGCACAAATACTACATTTAGTATTACAGTGTTAAATTGTAGTATTGAAACCTAACCATGTGGGCCAGTTCATGAGCGATGATGGTAACAATCCTCTCCTTGTTGGAATTGGAGGAGAAAGACTCGTCGTAGAGCAGAGCCGTCTCTCTGTAGGTGATCAGACCCCAGTTCTCCATGGCTCCAGCATTGAAGTCTGGTAGAGCTATCTGATCTGCATTGGAAAATAAATCATTTGTGGTCCATTACATGTGGAGTTACTATTTTTTTATAAGTTGACAAAAGTCGTTTCTATCTGCACCTTAGTTAAAATATGTAATCTGGACAGAGGGTGGCCTAGAAAGAGAAATTAAAACTATTTAACAAAACCAGGGTTGGACAGATTGAGCGGGCCAATGAAGATGGATTACAACTCTCATGAAACACTTAAACAATTACAGTTAATAATTGATTCTGTTGTGACCTTCTCAGATGCCGCTCCCAAAGCCATGTCATAAACACACACACACATCCCCGTGATGAACAGATAAGTGTTCCATCAATAGACAAGAGGAGAGATGAAGCACGAGCATGTTTTATATGGGTTCAGAACGACTGACACAGCTGTTTCACTTAAGGTGGAGGTCAATGTCTAACACTAAAAACAGATCTTTTTGGGGTTGATCATAAAAGCACACATGATGGCAGTAAACATGATGGCAAGACCTACTTACCACGAAGGGGAGTGAAACAGCTGTTTAATGTAGCTGTATTGTAGTACTTATTACATGTTGAGCAAAAAAAAGGGAAGTACTTACTGTATGCAACAAGAATACATTTAACAAAGATACATGCCAAAAGGAGGATATTGAAATGAAGCATTGCCTCAGAACATCATGTGTGGTGGACTCACCAGACTTTGGTAGAGGGTATTTGGAACTGTAATAGCCCTCAAAGAATTTAAGGATGGGTCCAGTCTTGTTGAGGGCGTACTGTCCTTGCCCAGCATCAATAGCAGGCTTTCTGGCAAAGATGCGGATCTAAACAAAAAGCACATCTTATCGTAAACATTGTCTGTCTGTCTG